AATTTTGCATTTACAGAACCGCTTATACGACATTTTCTCAGAATGTCACCAAATTTTCAACGAATATTTTGATATGGAAGATTTTACTCATCCAGAACATTCCTAAAAGCATGTTATACCATTAGGAAACAGACAAAATTGAGAAAAGTTTAGGTGGAGATACATGGCAGTCGAGAAAAATGAGGCAAAACTGAAAACCCAGCACTGAGAAAAAAAATCACAAAGCTAATTAGTACGAACAAGTAAATAACTTCAACTACCTCGTGTGCAAGTTTTCATACTCTCAAAAAAATGAAAAAAATAGCAATTTCAGATAATTTGTGGAACTATACGAAAGGCTTTCAGGGGTAAAGCACGTACAAACAGTCAACTAAAATTTTATAGAACAATGGCAGTACCTATGATAACCTATGGATGTAAAATTTGGGTACTCAATAGAGCAGATCAGAAAAAAGTAGAGAAGAGTGCTGGATCTTTAAAGAAATCCGGACATCAGAGACGAATTAAATATCTTCAAGCCAACTGAAAAAATAGACATACTGAGAATAATTGGAATGAGAATGCCGGAAGATCGAATGCCAAACATCCTCCACAACTATACCCGAACAGGTAGAGGAGTAGGGGCAGAAAAATAAGGCGCTGGAGGGAAACTCTTGAAGACGGAACCGGCCATTAGGCTTAACCCATAATGATGGCGATAACGATGACGATGATGGTGACGATGACTACACTACCGCAAACTCTGGAAGACCAGTCGGGAGCTTAAAGGTAGTCCTGGTTGGGGCGGTTCTGCGCTTATGAGATATGTGTATGGGGTCTGTTTGGGGAAAATTCCTGCAAGCCAACGGAGTTCGGCACCGGATCTCGCCCTCCTGCATTAAAACAAACACCACACGTACCAACAATAAAACATGCACTGCACTTACGGGACTAATAACCTGATCAGTCGGCGCGCGCGGGATCACTAATCAATCTCTCCTTCTGATTGCTGGGGAATGTTTAGCTGTGTGAAACCCATTTTTATTGTCTAATTTGTGTTGTTATGTTAACTTTTTGAAAATTAGTTTTTGCATGTTTTGTTCTACGATTTGTGACAAGTTTTTCAGGTGATGGCTTGAGGTGTGTGAAAATGGTCGGAAACTGCAGAATAATAATATTACTCAACTGTTATTCAGGGTGAGAAGGTTCGTCCTGATGTGGCACCATTTGTTTTGTAAATATATTTGTTTATGACTGTAAATCATAGCATATACTACTCGGGATTTTCAAAGAAAGATAACAGAAACTTTTCACTGGTATTGGTTCAGTTCTTTAAGAAACAAGCACGTTGGATCTGAAATCTCTTGCCTTTTTATTATTTATTAGGTTGTATTAGTATAGATTAGATTAAATGATGATTAAGCTGTTCAAAGACTTGTCTGTCAAGCCTGATAATCTAACCCGGATCTTTTGGTATACAGGATTAATATATGTGGTATTCTTTTCATATCATGTTGAATTTTTGTATCATTTTCTTAGAAGGAAAACTCGTTTCTCTACAAAACCAATATATCACTAATCTCGCACATATTCATGTGGATAGGAATTCCAGTGATAAGATACTGATAACAACATCGCGGAGTTATTTCAAGTTCAGGGTAAATACATTTTATCATTTATTTGCATTGGCAATTCAAAGTATCATTGCAGCAATCGTTCGCCTCGATGTACTCGTTTATATTGCGTACGACAAGTACTCAAAAAGTTGCCAAGTATAAAAGTACTATTCGTAAGTATTAAATATCTACTTGATTTCCACGAGTTATTAAAGTAACTTGAGAGCAACTTTTGTATATGCTTGGTAAAATAAGGAAAAACGGGAATCTAATTGAGATTCCTTTAATATTCTGCCATTTATTTAATTCATATCAATAGGGAATAATTACACACATGATAAACTTTTGTGATGCGACTGTGCTCTTGTGATGATGTCTGCATGAATATAGCAAAAGAAAAGAATTTAGAATACATATTAGAATAAATAAATAGCTTTTTTAATTCCATCTATATTCATACCTTAGAATTCATCATAAACTCTGGTAAAATGGAACATAAACTATGGAAAATAAGCATACTTACATAATTGTATATCGACTTCCTATGGAGGAGATGCTTTGTTAATCATTAATATACTTTCACTATTAACAATTTTATATTTAATTTTGATTTATAACAATAAATTATATACGCAATATCTAGTTGTTTGTTTTCACATTTCAATTTTGTTGTCATTCAGAAGAAAATGATACGACTTAAAAGTAACGTCTAAGAAAAAGACGGGTCTAATGAAATATTTTTTAACTGCTATTCAGACATGAAAATAATAACATATATACATCTTTTGTAGCATTATTTAATGATATTAATAAATTATTTTAAGGTAATTCATGTGCATATAGTACTACAAATTTAAATTATTCAATTATAGCGTGGCGTAATTCAACAATAGTATGATATAATGAGTCACAATCATATATTTACTATTTAGATAATCTTTACACCACGCAAAATCTGCATTAAATATATTAACGTTAACAAAAGTTAGAGTATTTTAATAACATTATTGAAACATAGTTCTAAACAAGAAAACAAACCACTTTTGCATCAATGATAATCAATATGCCGCTTTTTTTGTATCAGCATTCATTATCCATATATATTTTGAAATTGGCAACTATCTCCCAATTCACTTATGGTTATCTCCCAGCATTCATATTTAGGCAAATTAATTAAAAAGAGAGGAGGTATTTACGAACCCTAGCGATATCAAGCGTTTCTATATTCAATTTGTGGTTATTTCCTTCGGAATTAATTGCAATCTCTGTAAAGTAGATATACTGGTCTGAAGAAATTAAATAAAAATAAATAAATAAATAAATAAATAAATAAATAAATAAATAAATAAATAAATAAATAAATAAATACAATTTCTTTACATTTTTTAACAATAGTTCAATGTTTTTTGACTGTGTCTGATATTCTGTTCGGTTTAGTTCCCTGTTTTGGTCGCTGGTTTGAGTTTGCAGCCATGGTGTATGTACCATGGCTCTTTTACGCACCGCGATGAAATATGTAAATTGAGTATGATTCGGTTGTATCAAAGGAATTGCCTGATTGCAACAGGCATTGTGGGTATCCGGAAATCTAAGGTGTCGAGCACCTAATTATAATGAAGTTGGTCACCTGTCTACTGGAATGTTCAAGATAACTCCGCCGTAGTGACGCATATGCCTTACTATGTGTACTATGTACACATGTACACTATGTACACATGAGTCTATGAAAGTGTCTCAAAGATAAAAGCGAAGAATAAATGTGTCCGGTTTCCATGCGATTGCTTTCGTAATTTTAGGAAGAGACGACATCGGGAGACACTTTCTCTTTCAATTCCACACCTCATCTCTTTTATTTCCCTTCACCACTGCCTTTCTTTCAGTTATCCTTTTTTAAGTCTGCGCCTTTCATTTCATTAATGTAAATGCTTCATTACATCTATAATTTAGGGGAAGATAATATCAATCTAACAACACGTTTCTATTCGAAATCTATAAAAGACTAATATTTATATTTAACAAACGCTATTGCAGGTTATTTTTCTTTTAATGAAACATGTTAATTCATGGAAACAGTGCTATTTAATACACATTTATATTAAAAGCAATAACAACAAACAGTAACATCTGTGCAAGAATATAGCTGAGGTAAATATTCGCGTCCTTTTGACATATATAAAAAAACATATTTACACTAAAATATGATCTTCCAAAGCATTTTTATAAATATTGAATACTTTACTGATGTCTGCATCATTATAACACATCCCTCATAAGACTCATTTTGCAATAAGTCAAATTCGTATTCATAAACTCATAAATACTCTTAATTCCCTGGATACCGCCACATTAATTGGAAACAATAAAATTAGAATAAGAGTACCAGAAAGAAAAAATGTTGATCAGTGGAATCTGTTAAAATATAATGTCTTATTTTGGAAATAATCACCTTATTGAATTACTGTAAAGCACCGGCGCACACAAGGGGGGGAGGCAATTCACCCCCCTCCACCAGAAGGCAGTGGTTCATATTCAAAAACATATCTAGTACCAATAATCTCAAGTAACGAAAGTCATTAAATATCTCTCTTGTTAACGTTTCTGTTAATAAATTGTCAATATATAAAAAATACACTTTATGTTTAGAATGAATGAAATATTCTCGATAAGAAAACATCATGTCGGCCTGCCACGATAGTTCCACTCCCTCCCTCTCCGGGAAAAGTCTTGAGTTCACCTGTGTTTAAAATATTGTTAAGAGTAGAAAATGTAAAAGGAAATTTGTTTCTTTTTCTACTCATCAACTGGCCAGAATCCAGGTCTGAAATGGTAACATCCTGGAGCACAGCTTAAAGTTACAATTAATATATTACACTTAAATATAAATAGCAATTGAAATTGAAACAAAACAATTGAAAATCGCAAAACAAAATTCGATTATAATCACCATCATAGCCTTGAAATCAAAGTTTATTTAGAGCGAGTCAATAAATAATTCTGAAGACATATTCCGAAACATTTGTAGAGAGAAATTAGTCAATATTTTCATCTTATCAAAAATGTGACAGATATATTACGATAATCAGGACAAGCATAAATACGGATAAATTCGGAGACTTTTTCAGAATATAATGAAGGATGGGGAAAAAATGAACAGTGAAAATATAGTGTTCCAACACGATCAGTGTTTGAGGAATTACATACGAGGCATGTAATATATTATCATGTCATCAAATATTCAGTACTCATTTATCGTAAAAGTAACAATTTCACTTTGTTTAATATTTTTTAAAAAACTCCAAACAATGGCTATCGTTCTCTGAATACACATATTAGCTTCGAGCGTGACGCGAAAGCATCCCATAAACACTGTAAACACGTTAAAACAATGTTTGAAAAGCGACTCACAAATTCTTCCGCCGATGGAGAGGTATCCGAGCACGCGCGAATCACTTCACCTGGCGAGGCGGCGCCACCCACCAGAAGCACGTGCGCGGGCACCGGGCGGCGGAAGGGCGACGGGCAACGGGCAACGGATTCACGCGGCCGCCAGAGCGCAGCCCTGACTGAATGGCCATCGCCGCCGCCGCGATGCCGGTGCCCGCCCGCACGCGTCAGACGCCCGCTCGGCCAATGGGGACACGCGGGAAGCGGCGCCGGCGCCCTGGCTGCTCGCCCGCCGCGTTTATATGATGACACTTTTGATTGCACGTTCTAACACTCAGATTCTGGAATGTACTCGAAGTTCGAAGCCTTCATCTTAGTTCTCTTTCTCTTATGTTTCTCCCTCATTTCCTTCTTTTCATTTCTTTCCTTCTTTTCCTTCCTTTCCTTTCTTTTTTCTGTGCCTTTTCTTTAATTTCTTTGTTTTCTTTCTATTTTTTCTATACTTTCTGATTTTTACTTTCCTTTTACAACTTTTAAGTATTCTCCTTCTTTTCTATCGTTTCCTTCCTTCCTTTCTTTTCTTTGTTAATTTTCATTTCTATTATTTCTGTTCCCTTCTTTCCCCGCTTGCCATATTTTTCTTCTTTCTCATTTTTCTTTCTTTTTTATCTTTCCTGCTTTTGATCTTTTCCTTGTTTCTCTATTTTCCTTCTTTTCTTTGCTTTAATTTTATTTGTAATAGTCTTTTAGAGACTCAAAAATTCTGTAATCACTATTAATATTATCATTCTAATCTATGAAACCTATCGAATATAGAAAAGGCGTTTCGAAAGTGTCTTTATTACAACCAAATTTTCATAACGATATTTAAGAAGATGACACATCAAAATCTATTAATATTTCCATGTTGTAATGTCATTACTTTTGGTAAAAACTATAAGTATTATAGATGGAATATATAATTCTTTGTACTTACTAATATAGTAGCATTAAAAATTATCGGTGACCGATTTGAAACACGGTAGTTTTTGGCAACAATAGGCTGACTCATACACTGTAGGGGGTTCCGATCACTCCACTATTTCTCATTGAAACTTGTTTGAAGACTACAATATAGGTGAATTGGATAGCAATTTTTACTTTTTAAAAATACTGTGGCATATGCGGTAACTAGATCTCAACAAAAAAATCTACATTTTACGTTACATGCGAAAAAAATTGTCATCATTTAAAAAACATGAAATGTATATAAAAATTATCATTTACAAAATACTAAATTATTTTCTAAAAAATGTTTAATGTCTACTTTGAAATGTTCACTTTTAGAATTGCAATTATTCCTAAAATTGGGATTACTTCATTTACAATTTTTTAGCATCTTCTACTCTCAAAATGGGATACGTAAAATGTAGTACATAATGTGCTTTTAATTTCTCTAAAATGACATATCTGAAGATTAGAGCACATCAATATTTAGTTTAGCTCTCTACCAATGGTTTTGATTTTAAGTTGAAATATTGGAATTACAATCAATCTCAAACACTTATATCTGTATAAACGCTATTTGACATCCACGTATCTTTCTCCACTTCGTGATCTAATCAGGGACGCAACCAGGTTCCTTCCTGGAGGACGGGATAGTGCTTAGTCAATCAAAAAATAGTTTCACATGTACAGGGGAAGGTTGAACCAATTTTACCTTGGCAGAAATTGCATTCCACGACTTCATGGGCAAATAGACATGATTAATTTGTTCATTCCGCCTCAAGAAGACAGATCAGAAAGACTGGTGCTGTCATCACATATTTTCTTGTTACTGTTTAGAAAAATAAAAATTTACTTGTGGTAAGTAAATATTATGTCATCTTCTCAGTCTTTATATTTTTACTAGTATTAATGGTTGATTTTAAGTACATCCCGCTTTAGTACATCCCAAGGCACAACATTGTTTGCTTGAAATTCCATACTTGGTTTTGAAAAATCGCTGATGCAGTGTATTATTTGTAGGAGTATTTGTTTTCTAGTATTATGTCCAGCAGTGAGGAGGGCAAAACTCGAAAGATCAATTCAAGAGCGTTGGAGAGTTCTGTAAACGAAATATTTCAAGGAATGCAGAGAGTAAATGAGGCAGCTGAGATGTGTCATTTATGGGTTTCATGTAACGGGGATATTACCATTTAATAAAAACATACTTAAATATGATGCATTTCTGGTATCGTATGTTACACTGATTGTTCGTATGTATGCATATACTTGGCGCGACAGCCCGTGAATGGGCTCAAGGTTACTGGCGACGTCCCTGCCTCTTGGCCGTGGGTTAAGGAGGTAAGTGTGGTTAGCCCCTAGACATCCCCCCGCATCGGGTCTTCTCCTCCTGAGAAGTGATTTTTCTCACAGCAACATATACTGGGACATTGAAAGGAATACGCACACTATAGTCTTGGCTCGACCGGGAATCGAACCCGGGCCGCGTAATGGAAAGCGTGCACGCTGACCAAGAGTGATATAGTGGATCCAAATGAAGTTTCACACAAACAACAGTCTGAAGAAATATTACGAAATGTACTTACAGAAGATTCACATAACTTCTGTTAGTAAGTTTTCCTTCATATTTAGAAGTAAATTCACAGGCGCCAAAGCGAAAACCAGGAGCCTAGGGCACTTGAACTAAGAAAGATTTTTATTTCAAACAAGAAATTTCCTCCCTCCCCAATTCATTAACAGAATTTAATCCTCCATGCACCAGGAATAACGTACTGTGTTAAATTTGGACTAGAGATAAATACATTTTTCATTTCTTTTGAATGAAAAATATTCTGGGCCCTAATTACGTTGGGGCCTGGGGCAAGTTACACCAGCCTACCCCCTCCTTCTGGACGGCTCTTGTCATATCCCAAAGTTTTTGCCCGAAAGAAGTCTACAAGAGGAAGGCGGATAGGAAGACATAGAATTCTGATAGTCACGCCTGAAAAGTATATAGAAGCAAAAAAAAAGTGAGACAATTGGATCTTGCTATGCGGAGAAAAATAAATGGTTTAAAAAAGAGAAATTTTTAATAAAAGTTCTAGCTTTGAAGACGAACAAATGACCGTAATAATATTCGATGATTTTGGCGACAGATATTTCAGACATACTGTAGTTTATAAAAAAAGTTTAAAGAAATTTATTATTTTTTTTCAGCTCAGTTTGATCAGTGAAGTATTGAGAACATGTATTTTCCCATCCTCAGCCTTCAATAAATATAATGAACATTACAGAAAATTGAGGTCGTTAAAAAACCTCAATGTAAAAAATTCAGTTTTCCCTTATAATATGTTCTATATTCATGACCTTTACTTTAATTTTGAATTGAAACATTAAACTTGAATTACTAATCCTTGATAACTTTTTTAACATTATACCTTCATCTAATCGATAGCTGGGCCACTAAACTAAACATTCAACTTAATCCATCGTAAACCGCTGCCAAAATATTTACCCGATGCCAAAATATTTACCCTCAGACCATAATCCCAATCTCCTAACATTACACAACAAACCAATAAACTGGCATCCACAGAACAACACAATTAAATACCTTCAACATAGACACAAAACTTAACTGGAAAAATGTATAGAACCAAAGTCAGTCAAGCAAAAATAAAATTACCTCAACTAAAACGTATTATCAATAGAAATTCATCACTACCTTATACAACAGCAATAATAATATATAAAATCATTTTAAGACTCCTTCTTTGATACGTGTCCCACATCTGAATCAAAGCCGAAAAAACTAACATTAAAAAACTACAAATCTTCCAAAACCAGTTCCTAGGCCCCTTGGTTTGTCAGCAACAACCAACTCCAACAAAGAATTATTCATCGATCCCATAGTCCATCGTATTAATTACCTTGCTTCCAACTTCTATTTCTTGATACCAAAAATTTCCATATTAAATTCATTCAACCTCGGCCGAAATCCTACACAACCAACTCAAATACAAAACCAATTTCCTTTCCATGTATTCCTGAATAAAAATCTCTGAAATTGAGCATAGATAAAGATATCTAATTTGGCTTCCTCGTCCATGTAACAGATTAAGTTTAATAATAATAATAATAATAATAATAATAATAATAATAATATTAATAATAATGTGCTACATAGATTATCAGAAGGCATTTGAATCTGTCCCTCACAGTTGGTTGAAAAAGGTTCTTGAGATATATGCGGTGTTAGTCCAAAAATCAAAAGGACACTTAGTGCAATGATGGCGTATTGGAGTACGAACATATGGATGAGTTCGAAAAACAGAGGAGTGATTCATATTAAAAATGCAATGTTCAAAGGAGATTCATTGTCACAGTTTTGGTTTTATCTGGCAATGAACTCTATGTCCAAACGTCTTAATATCAGCAAAAGTGGGTACAAATTAATCGAAAGAAACAACTTGCGCTTGTCTCATTTTTGTTGTATGTTGCTGATCTCAAACTCAGTCGATGCAGAGAACACTTGTGCTTTGGAGGAACATTTTGTATGTTTACCTAGTTCTTTGGAAAAAGATAGTCGCCATTTTGTTTGTCTGCGGAAAGGAGCGCAAAAACATAAAATTATCACAATTTAAATAATACACGCCGTCAGCAGCGATGTGTCTTTACGTGAAAATTCAGCGTGAATATGACACCAGCGCTTGGCGTCGTCACCTTCAATTAGCCCTCGAACCCGTCGAGTTGGTTATTCCTGATTCTCCAAAGGAATATGATTTATAGATTTAACACATAAATACACAAGTTTAGTTGGTAAAACTGAATCAAAATAAATATGTTCAATGTAAATTTTTAACAAAAAACACAGATACATATGAATGAACGATATTTTCAACTCATCCACACTCATGAATTGTCCTCAAAGAAGATGTAACGCAGCCAAGTTAACAGGAATCAAAATTAACACATTTTTAACAATTTATATTTATTTTGTACCTAAGACTTGCTTTGAAATGCCACATTCTACGTCAGATTTCAATCCCCTAATAACAGTTACATTAGCTACCTTTGGCAATTGGCATTTACCTATTACCAACAGATTTACATTAACCAAGGGCTTGTGTCCAGTTCTTGGTCAGCGTTATCGCTTTCCACTCCGCGGCCCCGGGTTCGATTCTCGGTAGTGTGTGACTATACTGTGCGCTTTCCTTGCAATGTCCCAGTGTATGTTGCTGTTCCACAATGAGAAAATGCAATTCTGAGGTGCATCGGAATACGGCGTGGAGGATGTCTACGTGCTAATCAGAAGTACCCCCTTAACCCATGGCCTCGAGGCAGGGTCGTCACCGGTAGGCCTTAGCCTGAACATGGACTGTCGCACCGAGTACATTCATACATTAACCAAGGAATGATCTTAAGAATTCCGAATTATGTACTGTTAGGAAACTTTAAAGAACGACGTTAACACGCTAGCAACACATAATTTTTCTTGGAAATTAACTCATACAAACAATAATCACTTTTTCATTCTTCACTTCGTTACAAAATTTACATTTATTTCACTTTGATCAGATTTTGTACCTTTCAGACTCGATCGCTTCTTTAGTTTAGGAAATAATTAAATATTATAAAAACTTTGCTTTAGATATTTTTTATTTCCCTTAACGTCGTCTTTGCACGCGTACTCACACTTCAGCATACGGGATCGTCGAACGAACCTTGCAGCGGCTCTTCGGACGTTGATTCAGCAGGGTTGCCTCGCAGGCGGTAGCTTCCTCTCGATGACCTCGAGGTCAGAAGCGCAACAGTTTGAAGCTCCATAAAGTTAGCAGATCAAGTTTTTAAAAAACTATTACAAAACAATTCACTACAGTTTTCATCCTTATTAAACATTCGACTAACTTGACATGAAGTTCGCACCGCAATGAGAAGAAAACCAAGAAAATACAGAGATAAACGATAATTACATTAGAATTAGTTGCTTATTTGTTGATTAATTCTTATCGAAAAAATATTTAAGCTGTAAACAATACCAGAAATGTAATTTTTCGCAAATGCGGTTATAACTTGATGTCAAGTTAGCACTGCAATCGCAAGAAAACCAGAAAGTTACATTTTTATATTGCAAATTTTAGTTTTACATAACAAAAAAGCGTCAAATTTCGAGGTTAATTTTAATATTTCTTTAAAACATTTGCTATACTAACTTTACGGACCTACGACTTGGCGGCGCGGCGCTCGGAGAAGGTTCAGCTTACTATTGCGGATATGCCCGCGACCTCGATGACAACGCGTGCCCCACTCCAAGCTCGCTCCCGTTCGGCTGGTCTCGACGTTGTGCTCGCCACTTCTAAGATGCTGGTGGTCGCTCCACGTTCCCTTTCAGTTTTGCCTGTCGTCAAGTGGCGGCAGCGACTGGCGTAACGGTTAGCGTATCGGACTGTTGTATACTGTTATATACTGTTATATACTGTCATATACTGTCATTTACTGTTATATACTGCTATATACTGGTATATACTGTTATATACTGTTATATACTGTTATATACTGTTATATACTGTTATACACTGTTATATACTGTTATATACTGTTATGTACTATTATATACTGTTACATCAAACTGTTAAGTTGGTGGCTTCTAACCCGATCGAAGCCGTGGATTTTTTAAGGGTGAAAAATCTTTCGAACGCCTTCCTTCTGAGGGAAAGTAAAGCCGGCTGCCCCATCTTAGTATATTTAAAGAA